TTATGAACTGGGAAAGGGAGTCACGTTTGTGCGCTGTTTACTAAAGTGGCAAATCAAATGTGTCAATGTCAAGAAAGCCACATCATAACAGAATAATAGTGCATGCCGCAACACCATGAAGTTTCACATTTTTGTTTTTTTTATCGTGACCTAAACCAAAAGGGCTACAATGCACTTCTTCATAAACTGCTGATGGTATTGTACATAATGCACAAATGCTGAGTGCTTTTTATATGTTTTTGTGTTCTGGATATGTGGAGTTTATTTGGAATATCAGTATTTTGAATGATGAGACCTATTCATAAAAAAATCATTCAAATGGCTTCAATTTAAAACAACTGTGAAAATATACTGGTTTGCGCACAGTGCTAAGAACCCAGTGACCTTAGTTTAATGCCCAGCCACATCACTCACCACATCCTTGGTGAGTGATGTCTAGCCAAATCTCCCCCATCTCCTTCACCAACCCAGCCTGACCAACGTGAAGTCTGGTCGAACAACCCCATGACCGACGACATATGATGAGGAGCCCCCGCATCCAGCAGTGGACTGACAACAACCCGTAAGCCACGTACTTACTCAATTAATTCAATCGCATCATATAAATTGCCAAGTGGCTGCGAGCGGTCAAAATTTCACATTTGGCTGGCGACACTGGCGAGCAATGGCTTACTCTTACGGATGAGCTCAAGGGGTTCCAGAAAGACGTTACAAACGGGTGACACTCTCTGGTCATTCCGTACAAAAAGTGAACTAAATTACTTTGGCGGCTGCGGAAATCTCACCGTCAAACTGTAAAGAAACCCGCTCAACGGTCGAGTTCCCCGAGCGCGGCGCCACCCTGCTGACACAAAAAAAGACGCTTCCACGACGGAACAAGATGAGCACACGCTGGAATTCCAAGCGCAACTGGGGAACAGCGCCATAATGGAAAGATGTAAAATTGTCGGCGAGCAGTTCATCACCAACTATCAAGGACGCAAAATTAAATCGGCCGTCACACTGGAGATGGATTAGGGAGTTCATCTGCTCTGGGAGACGGAGGGGTAAAGGAGTTTTGTGGACAGGGGTCTCAGCAGGGGGGGTGAAAAGGCAACGGAGAGGACGGCAGATGGATACACAGAATAAAGAACAAAAAAAATCTCAGCTCTCAGCCACCAGTATTTTAAAGTCAGAGAAAGCCACAGGGGACTGATGTCAACGGTTTTTTTTAAGGGGGAAGGAGGCTGGAAAATGAGGAAAGGAAGTAAGAGGAGAGACTAAAACACAGGATGGACGAAAGCAAATTTGGGAAAAGAGGATGTTCTGTCCTGGGATAACAAAAAAAGAATCTGTCTTCGCTAATGGATGGTGGCATATCAAGCGAATGTACCCCAGCTGACTGTGTTGTGTAAACAGTAATATTTCTTAGAAGTCGCAGAAGCTTGCCTGGGACCTTTTAAGCTGCTTGTCTGATCAAGATGAAGGGCCTGTGTTTAAAACATTCACAATAATTATTGGCTATTGCCAAGGTCATTCAACTTAAAAGTCGTGCTTTATTTCATTATTATTGCTGGTGTTCTTAGTAAAACCTATCTCTATGCCAGTGTAAAAATAACATTTACATTTTTTTAAAATAGACTACAGTATTGCTCAATGACACGCGTTGTCCAACTTGTCACATCGTTTTTTGTTAAAAGCAACAGATTGTTTCCCACTCGATTGAGTGTGGCCGGCACTCATCATCTGTTCACAGCCCTGAGCCAGTATTGAAAATTCCACATTCCTATGGCGGGATCATCAAGTATATCCATAAGACAACCATTGTTGACTTCCCCACAAAGCGGCACTTATTTTACCCACTCAGAATGTATGAACGGCTGAGCTGAATCCCAAACCAAGAGTTGATACTGAGGCCGCGTTCTGATATGAGTGCACCACCAGGCCGGATGTCAATCTCAGCATGGGTTGTAGACGTTAAACAAAATCAGAACAAATTACACACAAAAATAAAACCATGAACCAATGTAAAGAAAAAATCAGCTGATTTTGCATGATATAATAAAGCACAGTGGGTGCACGTATGCCGTTGTCTTAAGGCTGCACGCTGTCAGCGCATTGCTGCGTACAAGTGTTTGTGTGCTATTGTTGGGCCAAGAGGCTCCGTCCAGTGGTAAACGGCACCTTATAGAAGCAGTCGCATACCTCTCAACCCCTTTTTATCAGTGCCCCTACTATATTTCAGACCAATTCAGACCTTACTGGTCACCCAGTGCCCTCCTTATAAATCTCAACGTTCATCCTACAAAGCCCGTATTGAAACGGCTGTATGCCGTATGGACCTGACAACTAAATTTCCCTGTACAATAATACGGGTAAACCGTATGGGTTGACAGGGTATGCAGTAAGCGGGGATAGTTCGTATTTATGAACATCACTCGTGATTTGTATATCCTTTTTCCCAAAACTTGGTTCAATATCGGCATGACAGATGTATGATGAAATATTGGTACTCAAGCCATCTAGCTGGGCAGCCACGCTTCCTGGCTACAACGTAAATATTAATCTAAACACGCAAGTGAATGACCGTAAAATCAAACTAATAAAATGATCTACTGTGACGAGTTAATTAAAATGTGTCAATCAATACACCCAATATTTCACCAACAAAGATAACCATTGTGCATTGTTTCTGAACTCTCTGTGCCTTTAAAGGACCACGGCATAAACTTGAGTGATGTAAAACCTCATTAAATTTTTCACACCTTGGAGCATCCATGAAGAGCAAAAAAAATTATCATGATCCTCAGAATGGATACAAAACACTGCATTGTTAAAGTCTACGCACGCGGTGCGCCAGCCTCAAACAGACCCTGGAGCATCGTTTCACACGTCAGCTGACTTCACACAGCAGCCTTTGCAACAGTTCCAAAAGCCCCCCCCCCGCAGAAGAGAACGATTTGATTTTTTGATAGCGCGCCCCCCAATGCGCTGGGGCATCTCTGAGCACTTTACATCACATCTCATCTCAAACATTTGAAAGTACACTGCCGGTGGCAGCTGTGCTTGCACTTGGCCTGCAAGCAGACAATAAGCCTGCGGACAGGGGGCGAGGATATGTGGACCCCCGACACCGGCACACGATGGCCTTGCTCTTGCGAATGTCGTCAGGGGATCTTGAACGTCCACTGTGAGTGAAGAGCATGGCGCGTGACATCATCACGTTTATTATACCCGCAGTAATTATAATCGGGGCGGCCGCTGGATTTGAACTGTGAACCTCTGCAATATTATCCGCAAGCATTTGTTTAAACGCAGGGAAATCCTGGACTGGTTTATACTTTCATCAGTAGAGTGCGGGCATGTTGAACAAATGCAGTCGGCTTGTCCTCTGGCACGAGCGAGAACTCTCCATGAACGTTCCGGAGCCCAATTACCAAAACACAGCAGCGGCACTGTACAACATGCACTGTGGTTTGTCGTGGTGTATTGTGAGCAATAAAACAATAACGGGGTCTGTGTTACACCACTTGCAAAAAAATATATATAATATTTTTGGCACAGCAGCCTGCATTCCTTTTCAGCCATTAGTGACGGGCTAAATTGTTATTGTTATTTAAAGATGATGAAATCATTGGCTGTTAATTTATTGTGTTATAATCCAAGACACACCACAGGGGGTGGTGCGGCAGATTGCATGGTGTTCTAAGATCCCCGATGACGTGCATCTGATTCCTGACCACGGCTAACACAGGCGGCGAGTGATATCAGAACAGACCTTGGGGGGAGGGGTCTCCTTGACTCAGCCTGCACTTACCAGCATGGTGAAGTATGTTCGAAACGTGAGTCGAGGCTTTCATCCACAGTGGACTGCCAAATTATTTATCTTGACACACAACCGCACGTAAAATATGTTGCTCTATCGATGCTCCCAGTCAAGTTGTGGGAGGCCACTCCTTCTCCTGTGCTACTCTTACTTCTTAAGAGCTGCTTTTTGTGTTTACTCTGTTGGCTTCCCCCCGCACCTCCGATTAGCACGGTTGACTATGTACGGTGCGAAAGAAGTTCAACATACAGTACATACTCAGAGTCTGGAACTCCCTTCCCCCAGCCGTGTGTGCTGTTGGTTCCCTGTCCCTGTTCAATTCTAGGTCATGACCTTCCTCTGTTCCTCTGCCTAGGACTGTATCTTTGTCTACATGACATGAACAAGCCTCCTTTCCCTAGAATGCCACATGCCGACTGGTTTGTACCATTTCCTGACAGGCAGTTGCATTTTGATGCTCTATAACATTCAAATTTCATATATTTTTTTATAACTGACACTGCAGCCCTTTGTCAGTCCACTGCTGGATGAACAGCCTCCTTTCCCACGCTGTGTCGGTTGTTTGACCATGTTTCACCTCACGCTGCGCAGTGCAGGTGTGGCAATCGGTAGGGAGATTCCCCAGGACAGGTTCAGATACCTCTCGCCGCTAATGTTAGCTGTGGCCAGGAATCGAAATAAAGTCGGTTCAAACAAAGCAGCGCGGACTAATCTCCGTCGTACGTTCTATTGGCTGAATAATGAAGCTCCTTGCTGATCCAGGATATTGAGAAGCCCAGAGGCATGGCCTTCATAACGCAGATAGATGTGGCCAGTATGAAGCAGGAAAGGACCCCTTTCACTGGCCATGCTACATGGAGTGAGCTGGCTGTGGTTACAAGACCATGCCGTCACATGCCTTCCATCTCCACGGGTGGCCGAGGCCAGATGTTGGAGCCTTCCCCCTGCCCATATTGAGCAGCAATCAGCTGAGTGCACAATGAAATAATGAAATGCCTGCCCGAGACACACGCACACACAAAAAGCCAGAAAAACCTCACGCACGTGTAGAAATTGACTACTTATTGTTTCAGCTCACCCTTCCACCCACCCACTTCCATTGGCGTTTCATGAATGAATTGAGTGGGCTATCTGATTCGCCAGTTCTTTAAGCAATCAATTAATTCAATATTTCAATAGACAGAGTGGACGCATAGATGGATGGGGCTACGTGGTGGGAAGCAGAGGGCGGTGGGAAAATCGATTGTTGTAATGTAATTCTATGCTCCCCCCACCTACACTGACCAGCTTGGTAAAGTATGGTCTACAAACTCCCGTGACCTGCAATGGTGCGGCAAGGCTCTCATCCACCAGAGGATTGACTAAGGGCTGTAGATGTACAAGTAGATTAATTGACAACTCTGCAAGTGACAGGACACCTCTTTGCTCGCCGTCCTGCATACATCAAGAGCCTAAGGAGAACATAAACAAGGCTGACAAGAGCGGCGAATCACCGTGTGGTTTTTTGCCAAGTGCATATATATACACACACACGTGCAATAATACCCGGCTTTACTTCGGGAATGCGTTCCCGCAGGGTGCGGCGACGGCTTATCGAAACGACGTCAATCGAAGCGATTGACGGGGCTAGGTGGAGGCGAAGGCCGAGAGGCGACGTGGCACGAGGAAGGACGACGCAGACGACGCCGTCAGTGCGGTGAGTGAGCGCGGATTGAGGCGACGCACATGAGGTCACGGGACGACGCATGTGTGAAACGACGCATAAGGGGGAGACGTCGGTCGGGGTATTATTGTATACACCCTGTGTAAACAATCAGCCAGTGGGAAACATTTAAACTGTGTACGACCGATGGACATATCGTATCAGAACATGTGCATTAAATTAATGAATACGATTTATCTCATGAACATGCCCAAACAACAGCACTTATATTATCAAAGCAGATGTTGACTGAAGACCCACGCTGATGATGCATTGAGAGGGTTATGTGAAAAGGCAAAGTCCATAAGTGTCTGCCTTGATTATCTCACAACCCTAAGTAAACAGCAACCAAGCGAATGCCTCCTCTTGTCCATACCACAAGCGCTATACTGGGTTTAACGACAAAGTCAAGATTTAGAACGGGTTAAAACTGTAAACAATTCCGACAGACGCTGATGCGTGTGTCCACCCCGAGCTGTCAGTCCCAGTGTGAGTGTGCACATGCAAGGAACGTGTTCAACGTGAAAGGATTTTAATTGTGAAAACAGAAGCGCGGAGCTCTGCAGCAGTGAACATCGCACTGTGAGCCAACGACGTGTTTGTTGTTATTGTCAGAGATTACAGTAACGCGAAACATGTACTTACAAATTCCTTCGTAAAAATAATAATTATTACGCTCGCGTAGCAACACACATATACGAATCGGACCGCCGCGATGTAAAGCGGCCGCAAACATTTTGGAATCAATGGAGATCATTCTTACCGTGAATCAGGACCCATAGGATGTGCCACACGTTCAAGTCCATGGTTCCCAAACAGCTAATTTTGGGTCCAAAGAATCCTAAAAACTCCAGGCAGAGCGATGAAGGTGAGGTTTGCAAGCAGAGGCAAGGAACAAGCCAGGACGCTTCTCAGTTGCAGCATTAAAAAAAAAACAATGTCCTCTTTTGTTACATTTTGCATCTCAACATTTATTAACTCTGTGATATATAATGTGGCACAATCTTGACCAGGGACTGCTCAAGATTCGGGGAAATGCTTGGTGGGAGCCGGAGGAGTTCTGAATCTCGCGTGCATCAGGGGAGGGTGGCGGGGTTGGTGGGCGGAGAGAGGGAGGGCTGCTGGCGGTTGACATGGGTTGTTTTTTTAGGAAAGCGTGGTGGACGGGGGTGGGTGGGAATGAGGGTACACTGGGTTGGAGGCAGCAGTGAAACAGGCTGCGATACACACAGCACCGAATGCGCGCGCGTACGCACGCACGGTCTCGGATTTTTTGCGGTGAATCTGTCTGACCGCTGTCCCCTGAAGGGGGTTTCAGAATGCTCCTCTTCAGCCCTCGTTTTCCTTCGTCTTGAAACGTTGAAGGGGCACAACTCTTTACCAGACACAACTCCTAGACGTGACATCACACGCAGATTGCCATGTCGGTCTCTGCCGCGCGAGCTCATAAACTTAATTAGAAAAATGTGAAAGCAGAGGTTTCGGCTCGTAACCCTCAATCACCCACCAGGAATGAAGGTGTGCTACATTTTCCCACATGCCAAACACTCGTTCATTGAATTGACCAGACGTTGCAATGCAGGACCCGCCTGAATACTGAGTCTTGAGACTCGGGAATTTGTCGCGTAAATAACTGGCGTTCATCAGTTTAACACGTAGGCTTTCGCGACCAATATCATCCATAATAGAGGTTGTTGTTTTTTTGTTTGGGTTAGATCGCGGAAATATATAAATGTGTCGTTAAACCCGCCACCACCCGACACAGCCAACTAGTAAGGGTTATCACGTAAACAGGCGTTCATGTAATTATTACATTTACGGGCCACTTCACATGAACGACATCCGCAATGCATTTCCTGTGCAAACATCGCTCTACATTCCGCCCAAACGCTCATGTGGCAATTAAGCCACATTTTTGTTATATAATGAAGAGTCAAATGTGACTTACTTATTTGGCCGCTAATGTGACCAAATGTGTTTAAACGAAATGTTCCGGATAACACGCAAGCTTGGCAACGTATTTCAAATTAGCGGGAATGTTAATCGCCGCTCTGCTGAAGCACGGAGCAGCAGACTTGGGATTTTGGGACACTCATCGCGATCCCCGGTCTACAACTGTGGCAGAGCGACAATCTTCCAACTGCGCGCATCTCCCATGAACATGCACCGCTACTGCGTTCAACCCTCTTCACCTTAACGCACGACAAACAACTCCGAGCGAAAGCACAAGCCCTTCTTTGGACATGCTTGCAAGGTGACTAATGGCTGTTAAAGCAAACGATGTCAGGCTTCGTAACAAATTACCGCCGCTTCCCCGACAGCCTCTGCCCTCCTCACCCTGCTCGGCACGCACGTGCAGCCAGGGCAGCACCACACCGCGGGACGCGTCACTGGTAACCACGTGCCAAACCGATCCACGGCAATCACGCACCGCAAAGGAGGCTGCTGGACTTTGGACATTGTCATTGGTCGGCCCGCTGGCTCTGATCGATGTGACTAAACCATACCTCTCAGACCGGGTCAACTTCGACGAGACTTCATCCTCTCATTTGATAATTGGAAGCATTCATTTCCGAGTTCTCACGATGATCTTCGCCTGCGTGGGCTTTGCTGTTGTCCTGCACAGCCTCTGTAGCGCGGACTCTTGCAAATGGGACACTCCCACTTGGACCAACGCAAAGACTTGGCACATTTTCCTGGAGTGTGAAAATGTTCTTCTTCTTCTTGAGTTCGCTGTCCAAGCGCAGGCTCAATTTCTTCCATCCAACCAATGCTGTTTCGACTTCGCCAGCTGGGTGGTGTAGTAGCGGTACAAGGCACGGCTTGGAAAGTTGAAAGCTGCTGGTTCAAATTCTGGTTGAGCCTGGACTCAAGTCAACAGTGGTAGCTCTATTGAAAGACTCGCCCCGACATGTGTGGACTTTCTACCACTGGCTCAGAGCTAATTGAGTCGGAACAAATTTTGATTAGATTTTTGTATGTTACAGTCTTGATTGCTTCTCTTCGTTTTTCCATTCAGCCCCACGTTCTTCAGGTCACCAAGCAGCACCATCTTTTGTCTGCATCTTTGGTCTTTTCCTCGACACAACTCCCGTGGAACTTCCTTCCACAAACTTCTCGGAACATTTCGTCCAATCCAGCCCTTCTGCCTCCAGTAGCATACCCACTGTGGCACGTTCTCTTTTCTATTACTTTCGATCAAGCTGATTTCTCAGCGTGACGCTAGCCCCCACATCTCAAAACATTCCATTTGTCTGATGTGCTCCGTTTTAAGGCACGCACAAGAACATTATAATTGCTGTATATCAACACAAGCGTGAGTCGCTGCGTTGCCCGCGTTATGCGAGGATCTTCACTTCACTCGCACTGGCCACGGTGGCGAAGTATGGCCGCAATTGCTTTCCCCAATTACGAGTGCAGCCCAAAGCGAGAGAAAAAAAGAGAGAGAAACGGGTGGCTTTGGAAATACAGCATACGGAAGTTAGAACCCACAATGACTGTTCAAAAATATTAGCGGGCTTGGGAAGAGCACGTTGCTACAAGGTACGATGGCCAGTGGTCAAGACTAACAACACAGCTTAAGGAGGGAATACGCATGACAGGACATCTGCCACGGACATGGAGCGATTAAATCAGCTGATGTGTAGGCGCTGGATGAATTTCCACATCGCAGGGAGCGAGAGCCATGGCTTGGGAAGGCCTATCGTCCAGCATTTGATCAGTCATGGCTGATGACGATGATGTATTTAATGTGCGTACATATTTGGTGGTATACATACTCAACACTCATTCCAAGCCATTAGAAAGGGGAAGATTTTCTTGGTCTCCACTGCATTTGCACATGACCCTCTGACCTTAAACAATCCCGCTCCCCTGATACCCAGCAGACATCATTGACACCACGGGGGTTAAAGCCTGTACTAAAAGTTACTTATTGGGTCATTTGAGCTATCCTCGGTTTAAAAATAAATCACGAAAAGTCCTTGAAAATGTTCTCACAGAAGCAACTCCAGAAACATGTCCCGAGATTGTTGTTAATAATTCCAGCCAAGGCACTAATGCCAGTTGGTACCGATAAATATGTGGCACACAGTGACTGGACAAGAGGATTCGTATCGGTTTGAGTTGAAGATATCATGCAATCATTTTTGTTATTGCAGGTCTGCCTGGTTTATACCTTCAATTTGATTGCTTTTAGGCAAAAACATGATCAGGGAAAAAAACACCTTACATTTTAATGTGGCTATGAAGAACATGGGAATAGAATAAATCTACACAAAAGTCAAATGTAATGCACACAGTTGCCAATGAAACAGATAGACTCTTTGTTGCTTTGCCTATGCAATACTGTATATGATTTCCATCTGTTCATTCGTTTGAGAATTCCTCACGTGTTCTCGGGAAAAGCACAAAATCCCGAAACCAGTCACTCCAAAACTCGCCACACAGCTGACTCACATCAATGGTCACATCCATGTTTTTTTTTTTAGAAGATTGTAAACAAAATTATTTTAAATTCCTCTTCATAAAAAATATACAATTTGATGAACATACTGTTCTTGTGGAGTTAGCGTGCATGTGCTAGGACACACCTGTGTTGGTGTAATATCGCGTGCCTATCAACCACGTCGCTCGCGTGTATGTGCGTTTCCGTGGGCACACTTCGGTGCGCAGCCGATTCGCCCAAACTAAATCGAGGCTTTCTTCCTGGACTGACTTTCCAGTTCCAGCTTGTTTTTATTGCAACCAGCCCAAGTTTTAATGAAGTAGATGTTTTTGTTCTCCACAGCTAGCACGCTGCGTGTGATGATCAAACGATGGACACGTGTTGTTGAACTTGCTAGGTAGGGTGGGGATGAGGATTTAACGTTTGCGGATTCAGTGTGCCTGCCCATAAGCAGATAATGTGCAGGCGACACACACGCCTGCAACTTGCTATACAGTACTAAATAGAAACTGTCATTTTGGAATGTCAGGACACACCTAATTTCTGGCATCTAAAAAAAAAGCAAAATAGTGTCTGTACTTTATAGAATAAATACAGGTCCTTCATTCGCAGCGTTTAAATTATAAAATATATATTTTGGTATCGTATTTGTGACGTCCAGGTGTGGTTTGGTAGTAAACATGATGGCAACAGGTAGCCTTTTATCTGAGTCCGGCATGAATTTTATGCCCAAAGAATCTAGAGCATGCACTCCAGTCATATGCACACGAACAAACGTATCGCCTTTGTATATTGCTCCTGAACATTCAGTCTCATTTATAGTTTTATTTCTCCTAAATAGAACAGGACATCATATTCATGAATCTAAAATACTGTAGTGTAATATTATTCTCTAACTACTTCCTATGTAAGCTTTTTTTGCGATTGGGTTGTACACTGTATCTCTGATGTGTGTCCCCAGTTTGACCACATGTTGTTCCAGCACGATGTTCCTGAAGAAACTACCAGCACTTCGCACCTCCAAAAGAAAGTTCAACATCCGTACGTACATAGACTCACACAGAGACCCATAGACTCACACAGAGACCCATAGACTCACACAGAGACCCATAGACTCACACAGAGACCCATAGTTTGTTGTCCTTCCCCCGCACCACCGATTAGCATGGTTGGCTATGTAAGGCGCGAAAGAAGTTCAAAATACACACATACTTGGAGCACACCAGTCATCACACACAGTACAGAATCGTATCAGAGAGCAATCATTTCTTAAGCTCACAGTCCCATGGGTTTATCATGGGCACAGCACAAACATCAATTTTAATCGGCGAGTCAATGCAACGTTGTGTGTATGTTAAATACCTCGAGACTCTGAATTTAATTCCACACGTGTTAAGCGTTGCACGGCACGACACAGTGGGTTTCTCTCTCTCACCCCATAAAAGGAACCGCCGATCCCAAACCCATGTCTCAGTGACATGCGCTAAATTCCCATTGAGAAAAAAACCCCCTCAAGGTTTCTAGCCTCAAGATGTTTCTAAATCCATAGGTACTTCAGCATCTGCTGATCATTAAAATAGGTTATTTTTGTTAACTTGACAAGGTGGATAAGTAACGGACACAAGGATTGGGCATTCCTTGTCATTAGACTGTGGGATGTGTTACTATAGTGCATGGAGGAAATATGTTCGCTAATGAGGAATGGTAATAGCTCACAGACTTATGTTTAGTTTGGCGGTTTACCACGAAATTAATATAAAAAACTGAACGCTATTACAATTTATATTTTATGCTCACTTATTTGACATTTGGCATGGAGTGGGGACACAATGCTTGGCACACTTATGGACCTTTAAACCTGAGTTTGATTCCCGACCACAGCCAAATTTAGTGGTGAGTGAACTATTTCACCAATCCTGGTCTCCACCTCCACCAGCCTGCACTCACCAGCATGGTGAGGTATGGTCAAACAACCCCCTTCACTGACATCATAAAGAAACACTCATCCAGCAGTGCATTAACACAGCGGCTGAACATTTATAGTATTTCATTGCATTGTGTACAAAGACTAACAATGCATCTCAACTGCAACATGTGCAGCCTAGAGCACTTGGGGTTTTGGGGTAAAACATTTGTTTACATTCACTATGGCAAGGGCAATAGTTTAGCCTTTTCCACTGGAAGACTGTGGCCCGAGTCGTGAGTCAATCTGCAATTCATTTCACAGAATACACCACACCTGAATGGATCCGATATTGTCAGATCTCGGAAGCCCATCGGGTTTGAGCCTCGTCAGCACTTGAATGTGAGACCACTGGGGCTTGTGAATAATCAGATGCTATAGACTCGGGCAATACTACGATCATATGGCAGTACAGCAATGGATTATGGAATCTATGTGTGCAGACTTGAGTGCCAGCCGGAGCTCTAGGGAGCCCCCTCTAAATGGTATCCGGCTACAGGGGGAAGTCCCCACACTTGGTCCCACCACACGCCGCCTGCCAAATCGACTTCGGTGCAGTGCCCTGCCCACGTTACACTGCTGCGTGGAGAGAGGCGGGCTGGGCGGATTGAGGAAAGTGGCCAGCCACGCTTACAACCGCAGCGGACAAGGCGACTTCTGCACTGCCAGTCCGGTGTTGCCAAGTCGCTGACGGAGTAAAGGGCCGTCCATAAATGACGTCACGCGATTTTGGACGATTTTTGAACCCCCCCCCCCCTTCGTCACACGGCGTCATAAAAAGTCAGACCCCCCCCTCAAATATGACGTCACAAAGCTCTGCCCCCCCCCCCCCCAAAAATAAAACATGCTTCAAATCGCTTTAAACTATTGTCGTTGTAGTGCGTATTTAATGTGGCGCTGCACTCTGATGGTGCAGGAGAAAACATTTATTAAAAAGTCAATTTAATTAAGCAGAACGTGTTGTCTATATTTATTTGAAGTTGCGCATTTTGATGTGACGTCACATTTCTCAAACCCCCTCCCCCCCCCTCTTCGTCACACATCGTCACAAATGTCTGACCCCCCCCCACCCCCCTAGGTGCGTGACGTCATTTATGGACGGCCCCTAACAACCACTGAGCAACCTGGTGAGTGCTGGAGCGGGGAGAGCACTGCACCCCGCGTGGACACGAGACTCGAGCGTGCCGGCCACAGAGCGGAGCGAGGCACCGTTGTGGGGGTACACGGGGGGGGGGGGGGGCCCGAATAATGTCGTGAAAGCCGTCCCAGACGCGAACCAGTCAAAACATCTCTTTTGATACTCGAGAGCCGAGTGGAGAGTGGTGGTGGTTGTTGCTGTTGCCTGCCGCATCGGTTCCCCCCGCACATCCAGGTGATGAGAAACGGACGCTTTGAGGTTTGCCCCGTGGTTGACATCGACTGCCGTCAGTGTCGGGGTCAAAAAAACGTCCCCCCTCCCCTCCCCCCTGTCACACCGCCACAGTTCTCGGCTCACCCAATTTCTCCGTCTCGTTTCACTCGAGGCTCTAGCTGTGTGGTCTCATCTTTGTTTTCCCTCTCAGCAGCCTTCCTTTGCCAAAAGTGGAAATTATTTGTGTGGGGTTTTTTGCTGTTGACGCGACCTCACTCTGCGTGCACTCCGTGTTAGCTCCAAAACTTCCGGTGTTAGGCCATTGGTAATTGCTAAGTCTCCCTTTTTTCATCACTGCAATAAGAGATGTTTAAAACGTGACTTTTCCAAGATAAACAGGGATACAAGTGTACATATAAGGATCTCTCCTACAGCTCTCGTGATGTCTTCGGCTTGTACCGCGTGGTGTTCGGCATTATGGCCGACGTTTCGCTTCACGTGCTTCTCCAGGAACCGAATTGCCCATCGACACTCGGTACAACCGTGAAATAGCCTACCCCGTAAGATGAACTTCCCCGGGCTTCTACCGATGCACCTCACGACCTTCTGAACACGCACCTCAATATTCAGGGACACTACAATTCGGCTCTCTTTTTACAACGTCTGGTCATCGCTGTCATTTCAGCTTCGTGTCACCTTACGCGCGCTGGATTTGTGGCTGGAACAGGCGGGGAGATAACCACATCCATATCCCCTGCCCCCCGAGGGCTGTCTCATCTCATCATCCATCCTCGCCATCCACGCGAGATCATTAATCTCCCCCTTCTGCGTAGCCGGGGATCAGAGGACTCCGTAAACGTGAACTCCACCAGGCACTCACTCGGACCCATCAGCAAAAAAAATATGCAATAAAGCTTTGAAAACTACCGTGTGTATTGTTGTGTTTATATTCTTGCCTATCGCAGCAATTTGTTCACGAGCTAAATGCCAATGTCAAGGTCTGTTCGCGTACGACGAGAGGGCTTCAAGGAGTCCGTCTCGTTTTGCTATTCCTCCCCGGTTGAAGGGCCGCAGAGGACAGCGGTTTATTATACTTGTTATGGCCCATAGCTTGGGTTGCATGGCCACAAGCCCACTACTGTGGCTTTTCATCACACACGTGCATTACAACACGATGATAAAAACACGTGCAAATCCGCTCTGGGAGTTTTTTTTAGCACGGATTTGTAGATAAGTGGCGCGTTCGATCTCCTGGCGCGGCATTTGAAATAATGGGCAGGTACAGTATTCTTAATTCCCACTGCATCTATACAGTAGACGCAGCAGTACAGGAAAAAGTAGCATCCACAGGCATCTATCAGTTTAACACGTAGGCTTTCGCGACCAATATTATTCATAATAACGGTTTTTGGGTTAGATCGCGTTTATTTATAAATGTGTCGTAACCCTCCACCACCCGACACGGCCAATCAGCAAAAAAGTGTCACGTTGACAAAAGACAAATAATTCACTACTTTAGCCCACCGGTGTGTTGAAGAGTGAATCCACATTTACAGTTTGAGTACGACGTTTCGCTGGTGAGTACTTCGAGCATCATCGGGCAATTCGCCAGAATGGTGAAGCCCTCGCTTGCTCCCGGTTTTATATAGAGCAGCAGGGTGACGTCATCACTTAACTCATATCAGGTGCAGAGATTAGAGGCGGAGGGGGGGGGGTAATGTAATTATATAATCGATTAGTAATCAGTCATTGGTTATGATTAGTAATGAGTTGTAGATTAGTAATTCTTTAAATCAAAATGTAATGTGTATTATTTAATAATACGCTTCCAGGCCGCACTAAGCCGGTAGCTGTCAGAGCGATTAAAGTTATTCTTGTTCCTCTCAATTTCAATGGATTCTCTAATTAGTCTTTGCCAGTAATAATTAGTTTTACACACCACTGCAACATTGTCAAAATCAATTGAGTGTCCTTGTTGACTAATCGATTATATAATTACATTACCCCCCTCCGCCTCTAATCTCTGCACCTGATATGAGTTAAGTGATGACGTCACCCTGCTGCTCTAAATAAAACCGGGAGCAAGCGAGGGCTTCACCATTCTGGCGAATTGCCTGATGATGCTCGAAGTACTCACCAGCGAAACGTCGTACTCAAACTGTAAATGTGGATTCACTCTTCAACACACCGGTGGGCTAAAGTAGTGAATTATTTGTCTTTTGTCAACGTGACACTTTTTTGCTGATTGGTCGTGTCGGGTGGTGGAGGGTTACGACACATTTATAAATAAACGCGATCTAACCCAAAAACCGTTATTATGAGGCATCTATCAGTCAGGGCGGGATGGATTCGGGCTGTTCTGAGTCTGGGTTGCCACCATAAAAGACGATTCAAGACAACAGCAACCATTAAACATGTCAACGTTGGCATGCAGGTAAATACACACACACGAAAACACATTTAAAAGAACTACATTCAAATAAACGTGCGCACACACTGACCCTACTCAATCACTACAAAAGTCTATTTGAGACGAATAATATTGTCAGCGGGTAGCACGATTTGCGATCTCTGCTTTAAGCGCCTTGCACACAACGGCTGCCCACACCCCCCCCCCCCAACCTTCTCCTTTGGGAACAAAAGGTGAGGCTCGCCCACGACGTCACGTGCCAGGTAAATGCCGCGGGTTGCATCGTCGTCTCGTTCTGATCGCGCGGGACAAGGAGGAGGAAGGGTTTGAATTGGGTGCGAGTCGATCGAAGTGTCCCTCGTGTGGTGGGGTAAAGTGTGGGTACTGCTCATGTGAGTGGCACAAAACGCCATCTGCATATCCCACAGAGAGTGGGGTGGGGAGAGCCCTTTCTCCAGTATTGCCGTGAGCCAAACAATTTACTTTGACTTTACAACTCGGTTACGCGTGGCCCTGATGATGCAATTCCCCCCCCCCCCGCCAACGCATTCGTAGCCTAGTGCCTGCACCCCGACGCAGTTGCACCGCCTGCACACTTTGAAAGCTAAGCCACTGCAAACCATCGCCAGCACCACCACCACCACTACCACCGCACGTCACCGGGGTCAGGGAGGGAGGAACAAATTGAGCGGAGCAGAGGAAACAACTGAACGCTAATTGCAGCTATTCTGAGCACGTGGCGAGGGCGATGCATCGTAATATATAACTTCCCGTTAATGCCCACTTCCTATTGACATTGTGTTACAAATAGACACATCCACCTCTCCTATAGGCAGCCTGCGATAGCGATCATCCTGTCAGAATAAAAGTCGCGGGCAGGTATATCTCTACGGTTCCTCACATGCTTCTAAATTCAAAGCCAGGAGAGCATCGTAATGCTTTATAAGCAGGGTCCTGCTACATGTTGAATGTTTGGCCAATGCTATTTAATGAGTGGCTTCGTATGAGAGGAAACTTGAGTACCCGGGGGGAACCCCATGCACACGAGGGGAGAACACTCAACACTGCCAGCTGATTCATGCCACCGAGCAGCCGACAACACCTAACAAGCCCCGGTGATCACGCAACCACGAGCTCATCACGCCCATCCTGTTCACCTTTCGAGATTCGACCGGACGGGGCGCATGCTAAAAGGAGGGCCCTAGTGTCCATCCATTGCTGGGTTGAGAGCACTTTGGTCAATGGCATCCCAGCCATTAATTCCTAGTAAAATCTATAAATTAATTCATCGCATTTAATAGATTATTTAATATCGTCATTACCCAGATCAGTTGCAATAATATTTATTTATATATATACACTACACACCCTTATTTATACAGTGTACAGGTTATTTTAATTCTTAAGGGGTTGGTTCTAAAATTATCTGAAGGCCAGTGGGTCACAGTATGAAGGAAACACGCGTATTTATTTCCACTCCGTAACAGTACAGAACCGTTATTATTGGTAATTGACAACTCGTTATAAAAGTTACCTAAAGCAACAACAATATATGTTTTGTTGCCGTTGCTTTTGTTTTTCAACTCTGTCGCCTGATGACGCTGGTTGTAATTACGTAACGGTTCACGAATTGGAAATGTTGTGAGTTTACTCTCCAACACACAACCGGTGTGCTGTACTGGTAACGAACTGGCATGTTTTGTTTACGTGACAAATTTTACTAATTGCCTGTCCAGTGTGGCGGGTTTAACGACACATTTTTATATTTACACAATATAACCCAAAAATACCTCGATTATAGATAATATTTTTTTATCCAAAGGACTGAAAACATTCTGTTACTTTTCAGAATAATTTACACTCAAGACTCAAACACAAAATGAATGATAGACTGGCAGAACAAATAGATATATTAAAAAGCACATGTTTAAATATACCCATGCAACAAATGTGCATTTAAATTAACCCCCCGTGTTTCCTGTCAGGGAAAAAAAAGACTTTGAAACTAGCAATGGTTTGCATGTATGCAATAAAAGGCAGTCTGAGCTATTTTTACCCTGGGCTAAACATTGTCTGGCCGATCAGAGCCTGCAGATGTTGGCTTTTAAAAGCCACTCTAATTCATGCAGCATAATAGGTCTGTGGGCACTTAGGCGTGCTCCTAATATTCAACATGCGTTAGAGGAATCGCTGTACAGGACAGTGTGTAAACGTGAGCCGCAGAACGATTTACAATGGGCGAACTGTTGGATTACGGATCCCGTAATCTATGGCGTACCACGGAAATTAAAGTGACCCATAAATCCGTCAAAAATTGGCGCCGACGCAGTGTGCCGCGGATTATTGGAGGAAAGAGCCACGCAATTTCATGAATCCGCAAAAAAATGGGCGAATTACAGGGGCAGGGCAGCACGTGACTCGTGGCTCCATTAATTCGCAATGTGTGGAGTTTGATTTATTTAAAGAATAAAATGACACAAATCTGCCATACGGGTTTGCAAAATGGTTTCTGTACTAAGCTAATAACGGCAGCACAGCTAGTCTGTTCAACTTGAACCAAAAACCAAAAACTGCCAAATACAATTTTAAAATACTTTAGGCCTTTTTCCCTCTGCAGCTCCGCTCTGCAGCGCTCCATTACCACCAGCCTCTTGCACGACTTTGTGTTAGCCCCGGCCACTTCTACGGCTCGGTTTGGGGTCGTCCATAAATGACGTCACGCTATTTTGGACGATTTTGGACCCCCCGCCCCCTTCGTCACACGACGTCACAAAAAGTCAGACCCCCCCTCAAATATGACGTCACAAAGCTCTGCCCCCCCCCCCCAAAATATATATAAAACATGCTTCAAATCGCTTTAAACTATTGTCATTGTAGTGTGTATTTAATGTGGCGCTGCACTCTGATGTTGTAGGAGAAAACATTTATTCAAAAGTATTTAATTAAATAGAACGTGTTGTTTATATTTTCCTCTGCAGCTCCGCTCTGCAGTTTTCATTTATTTTGTTTATTTTTTACCTACGTGACTTTACCGACAAAAACAAAGAGTATTGTCTATATTTATTTAAAGTTGCGCATTTTGATGTGACGTCACATTTCTCAAACGCCCGCCCTCCCCTCTTCGTCACACATCGTCACAAATGTCTGACCCCCCCCCCCCCCCAGGTGCGTGACGTCATTTATGGACGGCCCCTTTGCAGGGCAAGAAGCATTCTCAATCCGCAGTTCTCTATATATTAAGATGTTTTCAGCCAATCAATGAGTGTTTCTCAACACTGGAGGAAACCGAGCATCAGGAGAAAAACTCACGCATGCGATGGAACAACACTATCCCATACCGAAGGGAGAGATGATATGAGTCCGCACTTTGCTGTATCACCTTCTCCTGGCGAGCTACGGTATGAGACTTCGACGATCAAAGGAAGGGAGTTTCACAACCTTCGTGCGATCCACCAATCCTCGACTCCACAGTGCCGGATTACAGCAGTGCCAGATTATCCCAGTAGC